TACCAACAGGCGACAGGCATGTACAAAGGGGAGCACGTTGAGCCACAGTGCGCGCCGCTCGTTCCCAATTCCGACCAACTCGCTTAACGGTAAAAAGGATGTTCGATGCTGTAAGGTCAATCCTTTAGCTAGCCATTCCCGCCTGTCGCGCTTGCCAGGCTAGCTACACCACCAAGCTGGATGCGTCTGAGCTTTGCCAAGGGCAGAAAAGGAGCGCCCTCGAACGGTGGGACTGCAACTCCTTGTGGGGTTCCGCGGCTGTCGGTGGTGGACACAAGAAAATTTTCACAGGCACATGGACTTCTGAGATACCTACATCAATCGATATCGCGATAGTACCTGTGGTTGATACCATGTCGGCCTAGGCTCCCCGCAGGCAGCACAAGCATATGGTTAATGTTCTTCGCAACGGCATGGTGCAGGTTCTTTCATCAATATTGATTGACGTCGAGTGTGCCGCGTCTTTCTAGACTTTGTTTGCGGTGGTTGTGGTGGCCGTGGCTAAGAATAGCAGGCGATGCTATGGACTGCGGGCAGGGATGCTCAAACGAGCAATCCTCAGCCTAGCTGCTGCGGCTTGCAGGGCACGGTGCCATCCGCGCGCATTGCATTGAGCGTAAACCAGCCCGCAACCAAAATAGAATACCTCGCCAGCCTTTCGTTTTTTTCCGTTTTGTTTCGCTGTCATCGGCGGAGAAAAGGGAAGGAAAAAAAAAAATCGAGAAAAAAACGTCACATCATCACATGTGCTCGACGCAGGCAGTTGGGCGTTCATTTCGACAACCCAGACGCAATCCCGGATCGCGTTCGAATCCGGTTATCTGTCCAGGAGTTTAATTGCCTGCGAGGGCACCGTCCAGAAGGGCTCAGACCTTACGCTTTCGTCGCATCCACATCGGCTTAGCTAAGCCGACCATTAGTGGCGGTGCGGGCCTCCCTCCACGGGCGCGGTGGAGCGCAGAAGCCCGGAATTGCGGGCCCCAAGCTGCGAGGCCAGAGAGGTCTGGAATCCTGGATCTGCACTAGCGGGGGATCCGCTCGTCAAGCCTCAAAGAAACCCCACGGGATTCCTTGTTTCCAATCCGGGATGCGCAATCCTTCCGTTGCCTTCCGGCGATCACTGCGATTGGCACCGTGAAACCGCGTCGTCTCTGTGGGGAATCCAGATCGGTAGCCACCTCTCGTTGCGTCCATCCAGCTGCCTTTGTTGTTGCTGGCGCGACCAGTTGCCGCCGTTGAAAGCACTCTCGTTTTCGCATTTTTGCACGCAGCGGACCTTACACATGCGGAAGAGGCCGTGCATGCAGGAAATGAGCGGCCATGGCCAGTGGGGGCTGCCGTCCGCCCGCAACGTCGCCAAGCAAAGCTCGCCGCGATTTTCTGATTTTCTGGAACGAGATGATCGGATCAAGCGGCTTCTGCTCTGTCAAATGAGAACGGCTGGGGGGATGGAGCATCGGATGAGCGAGGCACCGACTTTCAGGGGTAACACACTCGTCACTCGTCACGTATCGCCACTCAACAAACTGCAAGGCGTCAGTCCGCTTTCGTGTCGGCGCTGGCGTCGCCTTGGATGAACACCTCGGGAAGAGAGGATCCCGGATCATCACTCGGCTAACCGTGTCGAACTGGCGATCCTTTCCAACCCAAACTTGTCTCTGCTCTCGAACTGCAGTGAGCACCGTTAGTAGAATAGTAGAGCAGGCCCGCTGCCGGCCGCCCGCCTGACAGAGTGACACGTCTTGGTGCGTCGTGACAGGCTCGTGCCGTTGTCTCGCCGGTGCCTATCGCAGCAAACGTTCGTGCCCAATCGAGACCATCCATCCGATTCGTTGTGTACACGAGAGCTTTCCCGCATGTTGTTCCGTGACGCGGTTGAGAGACATTATCCCGCCCGCCGAGGCCGTCGGTCGCACAAACACATCGAGCCAGGCCACTTGCACTGGCATCAGCCCGGCGTCTTGCAGGGAGGCCGACTCGCAGCTTTGCGAGTTTTCCTCACCCCAGACACTGTCCATCGTTCACAGTCACGCCGATGAGTCATGTGTGACGGAGGGTGCAACCTCGCTTGCTCCCAACCTCCTCAACCCGCCTGCTGCAGTCTACTCTACACTTTAAAAAAAGCCTGCCGAGCAAGTTTGTTTGAAAGCCTGCCTATCCGCGAACCTGGTCCGTGACGTCCAGAGCACTGCTCAACTGCTGCCCCCCCCCCCCTCTCCGCCTCGCCATCATCATCATCGCCTGCATCCTGCCGGCTATCCCCGCACCCCCCTCCGGCAGCAGCGCCCACTATTCCGATCACTGCCGCATCATGACAACAGCTTTTCTTCCGATCGATTTGCTGACGCTGTGATCGGGCTGCAGGAAACGACCACCCAATGGGGGAGCGGCGGCGGCGGCACGGAGTGTACCAGATCTGTATCTACAGGGCTGATTTGTCGTCAGATGTATGTATGTAAAAAGAAAACATAGAAGCTTATTCATGCCGTCCGTCGTGCATGATATATGCCAGCACATAATGGGCGCCACCGATGTCGCCTTGATATCGCGCGTAAATATTTTCGAGCGACCAATGGCGTCGCGAAGAAAACGCCTTCCGACGCCATCCGCGGGGAGAAAAATCGCGTGCTCGACCGACAGTGGGACGTGCAGTGCGGCTGTTCTGTTCTTCGCATTCCTAGTTTGTCCCCGCTGCTGCTGCTGCTGCCAAGGCTGGGCTGAAGGTATAGATAGACGTTGTACGAGAACCCATCGGGGAAACAAATGGAGAGAACACGGCGCGAAGGATACGGCATACCCCATACTCAGCCCATTACCTGCACATCGTCAGTATTCTACAAACACGGCCATAAGCACGTCCCGTGAACCTGCCGGTTGGACAACTGCGCATGAGGAGCAGCAGCAGCGGCGAGTAATTGATTGGATCCCCACAACCCGCAAATCGCCGCCCATGGTGTTGAGCCTTTAATGTACTCTAGAGTAGGTATCCCCCCAAAAAGGGCTCTCAACGCCGCTGTACCTTGCCAGGTCCTGCCTTGTACCCCTTTGAGAGAAGGGCGCCACGAAATTGCTTTCGGGTACCACTCTTCGGAAAACTATATTTATCGTAGCGAAAAGTGGGTACCGGCAAGATAGGTATCAATACTCGACTGTGCAGAGAGTTCTCAATATTCGGAGATAGCATGCATGAGAGACAAAACCCGCCGCCCGCCGTGATGCAAGGCCTCATTTTGCGTTGAGCACGACTCGTCGATTCAACACTGCCCAGCTAGGTTAAGAGGCCGATTTGTCACTTCCGTCCAGCGCACACAAATGTAGATAGAGAGCCGAAAAAAAAAAAAAAAACGAGATGAGTGATTGGCGATGAATAAGGGAACAAGAAGCTTGCTGCTGATCCGCAGGGCTCGGATAAGGGCACGGCGATTAATTGCAAGGTTTTGCTGAGCATTCAATCGGCCGTCGAGCAATGGGCTGAAGTCCACTCTAACATGTATAGTATCCCCCGCAGGATCGAAAGTGCCCAATACAACTACATGACACTAAATGTATGGGAAGAGGTTATGGTGATGGGCCAATAAACCCTTCATTATATGACTTTAGCGTGCTATATTGGGCACTTTCGACAAGCCGTCATTAAATCTGATCTTTACGCGCAAACAGCTGTCAATCTAGCGGAGCAGATGCTGGACGATGGGCAATAATGTGTTGTTTGGCAAGTACCCTATACCTAGCGCCAGAGCTGATTGCAGCTTTCCCCGATCGAGTGACCCCTTGTGAACCCGCAGCTAGAATGTGAATTCCGAATTTTTCACAGGTACATCGGTTCAACACGGAGCCTAAAGGATCCACTCTGGAAATTGGTGACAGTGATCATAAGCCAAAGGAACAAGCGTCATTTTTCTCGACAAGCACGAGGCTGACCTACTTAGGTAGGCACTTTGGGGTGGGTATATGAGTACTTACTCCGAAATTCACTCGACGAGATTGGAACCGCCCCACGGGCTTCTAAAGGGAACTTTTCACAAGCCAATTTGCAACCCAAATTACACCTGCCTGCCTGCCTGGCCCGTTTTCAAAAATCTGCAACGGAACTCGGCTTTTCCCCTCCACTACGCGACCACCACCACCACCACAGCACGGCGGGGGCAGGAGGACACCTGCAGGACCTCCCTGCTCACTTCTGATTTGCATCTGCGGCACGGTTGCGGAGTCCCCATCCGACGTAGCCGCACCCCATACCCGCATTCGCGAGGAAGAGATTAAGGTCCACAAAATGGGCTGGAAAGACGGGCTGGGCTGGCTGGGGAAACTGTGCTGCCTCCGATTGGTGGCTGGTTTCCAGCCCAGCTCCAGCTCGTGAAATGGCAGGCTGGAGAGGTCCTCTGCGTGCTGGAAAATCAAATGTAACCTAGATGTCTGTCCGATAGGCAAGGCAACGGCGTTTAAGGCGGCATCATCCAGCTTGGGTCCTGCAGTTGAGTTGGCCCGTGTCGTTGGGCAAAAAACGACTAATGTTTCCCATCAAGCCCTTGTTCTCGCTCACTTTGCGGACCATCGTCACACCCGGCAAAGTCATTCCGCCGCAACCTGTGGCGAAGTCAGGCGGTTGTAGAATGAGGGTGATGGGCCAGCGCGTTGAAGGTGTATGGCACTTTCAACACCGCGAGGGCTATATTAAGGGTTCCAATAGCCCTACCCAACGCCCTAGCAGGCTATGGCTGTCACCGGCGGTCGGGAACGTCGGGCAGGCAGGCAGTTGGACGCCGCCATTGAAACGCCTGACCGTTTTAAATGACGAACTCGGGCTTCTCACCGTGACCTTTCACCATCCGAATCTCTCGTCGCATGCCATTCACCTTGCAGCCCCCCCGTCGCCGTGTGTGTGACCACCGCTCAGTTACCTAAAGTTCTCATTTTCATTATGCCGCCTTCACTCCGCAGGAGCTCTTGCTTGAAAAAGTGCCGTCTGCGTTGGATTCAGAGGCAATCCACAGAGAGTCGGACAGACAGCTCAGTGGTAGAGTATACCGCCGGTATTAGGCAGACCCCTGGTTCGATACCTGGCCTGTTCGTCTTTTACGTTGCCCAACAGTCTGCAGATCCCCCACCTTGAATCGGATGGTTGAAAATCCTCGGAGTCCTGAAGCGGTTGGCTATCGGGTCCAATCCGGTGGGGTTCACCTTTGGTTTGTCTTGGGAACAGTTGGTGACTTCACACTTCGCTGGTACCATCGACCACACAACCTACAGAGAGAGCATCGCCAGTAAGCTCCTCTTCTTTAGCGAAAGAGTGCCGTAGTTCTAAACACACGATGTGAGGTCGGGCTTCTTGTTGGGCCAGGTTCGGCCTCCAGGGTTGGAAGGACTCGGCCTAGTAGTAGATATGGTGTCCGCATAAGTAGCCCGAAGAGGTCGAGCAGCGGCGGCAGCATGTGGCCACACTTTGAGTGAAAAGCTGGCTTTTGGACAAAGGCATAAGGCCCGGGCCGATATTCCTTTGCACCAGTGTTCTCAACAGCCAGCCCGCCCGGCCGGCTGCGTTGGGCGGATATGGGCTGATCAGTGATCAAAAAGCCCGCCCGGCTGTTTGGGCTGCAGCCCACAATGACGGCAAATACGACTACCGTGATGCAAACTACTGCTATGAAATGAAAAGTACATAAACATGTTCGCCGTGTAAAACGATGACTAGGAGGAGATCACTAGATAGGAGTTCACAGATCCTGACAAGTTTATCAGCGCCGAGTGAACCCCGCCACTCGCAGCGGTCGGTATTCACCGGAGATCACTCAAAGCCCTGGCAGCCGGGCTGGCCCGACAGCAGGCTGGGCCGTTTGGGCTGATGCAAAAAGCCCGCCGGGCTGGCTGCTTAAAGCAGCCGGCCAAGCCCGCCCGGCTGTTTGGGCTGGCTACTGAGAACACTGCTTTGCACACTCGTTCTCTCCTGGCATTCCTCCCTAGTAAGATTCTGGTGTATTTTGTTACAGGCTTTGCTAGAAAAGCCTAGCCGGCTAACCTAAAACTATAAGCCTTCCCAGCGCCTGGAATTTTCGGGGTGGGTTACTGGAAACCCTGGGGATACGGTATTGGCACCAGTGTCCTCAATAGCCAGCCGAAACAGCCGGGCGGGCTTGGTCGGCTGCTTCAAGCAGCCAGCCCGGCGGGCTTTTTGTATCAGCCCAAACGGCCCAGCCGCCCGACTGAGTGATCTCCGGTGAAGCCCAGCCACTGCGAGTGGCGGGGTTCAATCTACGCCGATAAACTTATCAGGATCTGTAATGTTATAGTAAACTCCTATCCAGTGATCCCCTCCTAGTCAGCATTTTACACGGCGAACAACTTTGTGTACTTTTCATTTCATAGCAGTAGTTGATATCATGGTGCTCGTATTTGTCGTCATTGTGGTCTCCGTCGTGGGCTGCAGCCCAAACATCCAGCCGGGCTTTTTGGTCAGCCCACATCCGCCCGACGCTGGCTGTTGAGAACACGGATTGGCACACCGTCCCTATCGACGGGGGGAATGCTTCATGGGTTTTCACTCATTCACATACCATCACTCGAATCAGTGCACCCATCTGAGTCCACGGACAGACCGGTGAGAAACCTGATGACTCGGATTCCGGCTGAATTCAGCACTGAGCCTCTCCGGACTTGTCGTTTCTCCCTTTGGCAGTATATACCTCGAATGACTGGCGTTCCTGAACTTATGTTCGCTCACTGGCTTGGTAAGTAATATTTCGAATCGAATTGTTTGGTGCGATTGGGATGTCGGCCTGAGATTTCCCCAGACCCGACTTCGGCACCTTGATTTTGCCACACTGTGACGCCCCCCTCAGGTTCCCCCGTGACGGTTGTGACCCGTTACGACAGGTCGCGGCGGTTGCGTTCCGTCATGGACGGCTTCCTTATCTGGTCCACCGATTGTCACTCGCTCTTTCATCACCTATAATCACCCGCACTTTTTAACATATCATCACTCGCCGTCGGACCACTGCATCCGGAAGCCCGGCACTCGATTACATAAACCCCTTTTTGTTTTGTTTTAATCATCCTGTATTCGGCCGCTTGCGGCCATGACATGGGACTATATACATAAATCTACCCTTGGACCTCATGTGTCCACAGACGGGCGTGATTCAATAAACATACCAAGGAAAGTCGTGTTCAATGTGTGACAAAGGAAAGACAAAAAGAAAGCAAAGGGAAGAACAGGCGGGGTCATTCTTGTGGCTTCTCTGGCCACTTTCCTACATGCGTGCTCGACAGGAAGCCCAACAGGGCTTCCGTGCACGTAGTGTCTGCCAGGATCCTGGCCACCGGAGTGGAGGTCCTCTTCCAGCCCTCCTTGCCGCCTACTTTCGTTGCCAGCCCTATGGCCTTCCATAGGGCTTCCTGCTCTTTCTTCCATCTTGCGCATCTCTTCAGGAGATACTCCCTCGTCTGCTTGGGGGCCTTGCGGCACCACCAGCACTTGTCATCCGTCCGGCGGCCGGTCCACATCAGATATGGAGCGGTGGGTGCTTTGTTGAGCCGGAGTTGGAAGTATCGAGACGCCAGTGCTTTAGGAGCCTTGGCCGCAGTCTTGTCCCATTTAGCCTTACGCTTATAGTAGGCTTTGGCTTTGATCTGGCGGCTCAGCCAAGCATTTCGGTCTTTCGTCCTGGCGTCGGTGACCAGGCGGCCAATGTGCGTCAGTGATGTGATCTCGACTGTGTGCGGCCTGTCCAGTCGGTCTCTTGCAGCGGCCTTGGCGACTTGGTCGGCCATTTCGTTGCCTGGGATGCCCTTGTGCCCGGGCACCCATCTGTACTCGGTGTTCCAGCCGAGCAGACGTAGCTCATTTTCAGCTTGGCAGATTCGTGGTAGCAGCCATTGACCTGCCCCCGGGTCGCTACGCCTCAGACGTTTGAGTGCCGCTTGAGCGTCCACAAAGATGTAGACGGTTCCAGACAGGTTCGGCGGGTCTTCTTGTCGGAGGCATGATCTGACGTGGGTGCTTCTTAATGCCAGTTCTAGTCCAGCCGCAATACCGAACAGCTCTGCGTCGTAGGCTTCCTTGTTATTGCCAATGTAGCCACTGCTTCGGCACCACTTGTCGATAGCCATGCTGGTTCGTGCGACTGCGCCAAAGGCACAGTGGCCGTCTTCCAAGCGTGATCCGTCCGTGTACACTGCCATGTGGTTTGTTGTAGGCTGTTCCAGTGACAAGGCCGTCAGCGCCGCAGTGTTTTCGTCCTCCTCAATGACGACATGGCCGGTGGGGTGCTGGAGATTCGGTCGAGTCGGTTCTATGCTTGTGGGGTGTCCAGGGATGGTCACGGCCAACTTGCCCATGATGTTGGGTGGCTGAGTTTCTGGGGCACTCCCACCAAAGGCGCTGCTTGCTATAAAGCGGAGCAGGTCGTTGGTAGACTTGACTTCTGGCTGTCGGTTTCCGTTTATGTCGGTTGCGGCGTTCCGCAGCCGGTTGCCGGCTGGGTTGTTGTCTGGAGCTGCAGCCAGGCGGGCTGCAAAGCGCCTACGTCTGTGGCGGAGGACAGTTTCGGCGTCTGTCAGACCGGCTTCGCAGATGAGGGGTCCAATAGCCGATGTCGGTAGGGCACCCAGTACTGATCTGGCCTGCCTGTTGAACAGCTTCTGTATATCGGCAGTTCGTTCCTTCTGGCCGTCAAACCATAGTTCAGTTCCGTATAGAGCAACAGCTTGCACCGCTGCGATCTGGATCCGTCGTACGTTCTCGGTGCATAAACCCAGCCGGCCTGTGAGTGACCGGATCCTGGCTTCCGCGGATCTTGCCTTGCCCATTCTGACGTTATGATGATGCTGGAGGGTCAGTTTTACATAAACCCCTGCGTCCCAACGAAGTAAGCAACTACGAATCCCGTGGCCGACAACTCGATGCCTCAAAACAAATCGAAATGTTTCCGAATCTCTAATATCCCAGAAGATTGGGATAAAGGCAAAGTACCCGATGTTCTCGAAAAACTTGATGGCTCTTTGGGCGCCTCCGTCCCCTATCCATTGTAACTCCGTGGTCCTCGCCAAGTCGTCCTCGTCAACTTGAAAGGCTCTTGTCCAGAATGAACCCCACCACGCAACAGAGGATGCTTATCGTGATGGAAATCGATTTTTCCACTTTTTATGGCCTGCCGCCACTGAATGAACCAAAAGGTTGAACTCGCTGCTGAGTATGCCTCACTCTTCCGACCCGACTGCCTTTTGTTCATGAATGCTACATAGAGTGGTTAGCGTAGGTGCCGTTACTGGTCTCGCTGGCCACGCTTTTGGGTCCTGGAAAAATCGGCGGAGCGACTTTCTTCCAAAGGACGTTGAAAACACCCGGATCATAATAGTATCCTTGTCGGCCCCCATGCCTCAAACGGCCGGATCCTGGACCACAGGCAAGGCCTCATTTCTCAATTGAACAGTGTTAGGTCTTCTGATGAGGTCGGCGGGGGGGGGTTTTTTTTTCTCTGATTGATCTTTCGACTAATAAATCGATGCCAGGAGAGAGACCGACGTGTTATATCCATAGGACATAGTCTTAGTGGAATCCTGATACCACAGGTGAATACCAATCCACAAAATGTCTGCAGGCCGAATCGCAGTTTGCTAACATATCGTAGGCCTTGCTGCACTGCCAAAACCAGGAGCTTCACAAACAACTAGTGGAGGCAACACACGCAATTTTGTTCTTTGGCACTCCATACCGTGGTCTCTGCACCCCCGAACCGGAAGCTATGGTCACCAACATGGGGCTAAGTACTTATTCCAACTCTCTCGCCCTTTTGAAGAACATTGGGGAGGGCGCGGGATTCTTGGAAAGTCAGGCAGATCAGCTATTCAAGCTGTGGAATCGCTTCATGATCATGAGCTATTACAAGACAAAAAAAACAGCGACCTTCGCCAAGGTACTGACATTAATTTTTTTTTTTTTTTTTTTTTTGATCGGAGCCTGACATCACAGTTTCCAGGATCGCGAAACAGAACAATATGCAAGGGTAGGAGAACTGAAGGACATGGTCAAGAAGATATGGGCTCAGCTCTACCTCTCAAACGAAGACCGTATCCC